TTTTGAATAGAAAGTTTTAACTGCTTTGAAGGTACTAAGTAGTGATTAATTCAATACATTAAAAAATTCTTTTTACCTTTGATCAATGGTTTTTTACACCAACGTACCCAAGTATAGTTCATATAATACTTCACAATAATAAAAATCAGAACACTGAAAAAATTATTGAACATGATCCTCGACAATTTATTAATGTAATTTTACAAAAATGTTTATACATAAGACTTACATTGTGACCGAAAGGTTTTCGGAGGTTCTCATTTAAGATTCGCGCGCTGTATATTTTTCGATATTTTAAGTTTATGTAGTTTGGCAGCACTGTCCTTAATTACTATGCCAATGAGCGCGATCTGTCAGACAGTTCGTTTACGGCAGCTGTTGAAACCAGTTCACCTCAGTAGTGCGTTGCGAAAAAAACAATGGAAAAAAATATTGAACAAAGAGTTTGCATCAAATTTTGTTTTTCGAACGAAATTTCGTGTGCAGAATCGTTGCGAATGCTACAAAAGGCTTATGGGGAATCAGTTTTATCGAAAACTCAAGTTTATGAGTGGTACAAAGCCTTTCAGGACTGTCGTACGACCGTCGAAGACATGCCGCGTTCTGGACGACCTTCGACCTCTACCACCGACGAAAACATTGAAAAGGCAAAGGAAATCGTGTTCAAAAATCCTCATGTGAGTGTTAGAGAGATAGCACGAGAGCTAGGCATCGGTCGTGAGATGGCTCGTTTGATTTTGGTGGACAATTTGTGTATGCGACGTGTCAACGCCCGGCTTGTTCCGATTCACCTCAATTTGTTCAACATTATCAACGATTTTAAGGCCAAACATTCAATAAATACCATCGAACAGCCACCGTATTCACCTGATCTTGCACCGTGTGACTTTTTCCTGTTTCCCAACCTCAAATTACCACTCAGAGGAACGCGTTTTGAATCCATAGAAGACGTAAAACAGAATTCGCAGAGGGAACTCAAAGCCATACCGGAAAGCGCCTATAAAAATGTTTTGCATCGATTGGAACGAAAACTGGCCATTGTGTATGCTTCTAATGGGAGCCATTTCGAAGGGAGATAACGATAAATATTGATGAAGATTAAGAATTTTGCGTTTTATTTAAGAGTT